TACCCTAGTGATGTTTGGACTCATGGAACGCCATCAATTGCAGTGCTCCTAATGCACAAATTCCATGAGCCGACTCAAGCTAAACTGACGAGGGGTGGATTCCCCGACCGTCGGTCAGTGTAGTGCCATATTATCGCATGAGCTGATTGTTAAGTAACTGGTGGTGTTAGCGAGCATTAGGCTGTCCCCGGGGAAAATTGCGATTCCGCGGCCGCGTTTTTTTCCCCGCGTTTTTTTGCGATTTTTTAAAAGACCGCGTTTTGCGCGATTTTCCCCGCGTTTTTTGAACTTTTTTGTTGCACTACACGTACACACAGTGCACTGTTCGGTCAGCAACGTCTCATCGTGGCGGCTTTTTACTCAAATATGACGAGTGCTTACACCAGAGACTTGTAACTGATTGATTTCACTACATACTCACTGAAAATTGCCGCACATCAATATTATTCACCGCATATTTACCGCAAATTCACCGCAAATTATGCCGCGTTTTTCCCCGCGTTTTTGCGATTTTTCTCCGCAATTTTCCCCGGGGACAGATTAGGCCACCATGAATTAATTCGTTGTTTCGGGTCACTTCACTTATCCGTACCAGGGTCGAACGTTTTTTTTTTTTTTTTGCTACTAGTACTGCCATGTACGTGTGCATAAATATAATAATTATGTGACAATGTAGATTGTGCACATCGATAATCAAAGCTTTAGTCCACCAAGCCAGTCGATCAAATCTGACTGGAAACGACGATCCAACGCAGCCATTGTCCCATCAGGTCCAGGTCCACTCTGGACCAGATCTTGGCCTCGCTGGCAAACGAGTCTGCCGAGCAGCTCTCACCAAAACTTCTGTCAATGGGCGGCGAGGTGGCGGAGCTGATGATGTTTCAGGACCGATTGCGAATGGGAGATAATAGAAGACAACGACGTCACCAACCGTTGCATCCTAGATCCTGTCGTTTGGCTGCTTCTGAGGTCGATGTCTGGACTGCTGAAAGTCGATGTATATGTACACCGCCATATATACATATGTGTACCGGTAACAATAGTACATTTGCATGCACACAAAAAACACATTTCCTGGTCTTGTGAAAAAGACAGTCAGGTGACCCGAAACAACGAATTAATTCTGGGTGGCTTTTATAATTATAATAATTATAGCGTAAGGCCAAACTAAAGAAGGTGTGTGGTTCGACTAACATGGACATTTTTTTTACGGGCGGGCGGGCGGATTTTTTTTTTTTTAATATATTTTTTAGTACATGTAAATACACTGTATACGCGTATCGAGTAGACTCTACTACCAGCACAAGGCAGCAGTCGTACCACTCACTGCACTGCACTGCAGTACAACTACAAGTCAAGTCCAAAAGGAGCCGCCTGCGTCCGCAGACTCACGCCGCACAGCACGTAGACGTGGACGTGTTCAGTCCACGTACGTCAGTCACACGACCGCCCGCCGAAAAAAAGTTACGGTCGGGCTGAAATTGTACGGTCGGTCGGGTGAGTCGAACCACACACCTTCTTTAGTTTGGCCTAACTTGTAATTCCTTGGTCCTTTTCTTTTCTATTAATTATTATTTATCCTTGGCTGGCTCTCCATCCGAGTCTAATTATTATAACAAGTCAAAATTTCAAATTTAAAAAAGTTCCAACAGCGAACGTAGCATCGCCACCGATAAAATAATTACAATGTAGATCGGGCAAAGAGAAGACTTGCTGAACCGACAGTGAGCATCGGGCCACACTCATGTCTACATAAAGCAATGGTGGAGTCTAAGAGGGAATTCTTGTACACCTACCCTTCGCCAGGAGCGAGCAGTGGCTGAAATCTCGCAGCGTCCCATCCTTGGTTCACCGCCATGGCGGCGCCTTCAAGTGACTTTGTAGAGGACTGAATTCGTTTTCTATCCTGTGATGGCCTAAGCCAGCTGCTCTTTCTTGCTACAATAATTTCCCTGCTTTCTCTGAAAGTCTGCTCTTCGACTTTACCACTACTAGTTGCGCTGTCACAATTTTCAAAGACATGAAATGAAAACTGAAAACTTGTGCTGTGAAAGAGAAAGCCTTCGCCTGGTTTGTGTTCGGGTAATGGTTACATCACGATACGTTTTATGATGTAACGACCTTTGAAAACGTGATTCATCGATTTACAGATTTCCTTTTCAATGCCAGTTGTGAGGATGCAGCAGGATTTACGCAATTCCCTTGGAGTTGAGAAGCTTTCATTCAAAAGTCTGGATCGTTTTCAGTTGAAGTCGTTTTTGGCGTCAACGGAGCTGCAGCCCCAAAAAAAGGACACCAACAGTAAACACAACAGCTATTTTGTATTGTTGCTTTCAGATAAGACTTGTCTTGATCTAACTAATGTTACTTCGGGAGTGACACATTGATGGATGGATATCTTTTGAAGCGCCAGGCGCACAGGAGACTAAGTTGTGAGTATTATAGAAGCCTCATAGCCTGCTAGGGACTGAGCGAAAGATGTCGAAGCCGTCGGGCTTTCTGCAGCGGCAGCGCAATTTCTGGTCGGAGGCGCTATGGAAGCCAAAGTCGAAACTCTCACTTGAGCAGCTGAAGTGAGTGTTTAGAAGAGTGTAATGCCTCCTGAGATTACTGGTATCATACTCGTTTGCCGATAGAAATAGCTCGCATTTGGGCGTCGTTCATTGGGAAGGATCTGTATTACAGGATTTGAATGTGTCAGAATGTTGTAAACAGTTTATGGGATACGTACATGTAACGCAATCTCAATCTGCATTGCCAGCCACACTAATCTGGATTCAGATACCAGTGGTCGTTTTACTCGGAAATCAGTGAGAACACTCGTAGATCTACTGTTACGAAATGCAGCTGAGAACTCGGCACCAACCGTTTGTTCTGACTGTAGTGCACCACAGGTCGCACAGTTCACCGTATCAAACACGAGTCCACTTTGTCGTGCATTGATTGTCTGCTTGGCTGGCTGGCTGCTCTGGAAAGTGTAGGGGTCGCCGGTACATGTATGTGAAATAAAGCGACCTTTCCTGTTGAGTGTTGGCTGTCAGCAGTTAGCTCGGAAAAGAGCTGCTGCTCTCCTGCACACACAAGCTACACTGTCCTGTTCACCTGTGTGCATCATGGCCTGTGTGTCTCTGTTTACTGTTTCTCCTGGCAATATTGCCAGCACACAAACTGCAAGAGTACTAGTACCAGTACATGGCCATGACCAGTATGCAACTGTGATTACGGGTCAGTGCGCGGCGCTCTGCCTTCATTACGTAACTTACCAGCATCGCGCCATGTACCCATGCCTAGAAACCCGCCGTCTCTCGTACTAGCACATCATCCGCTTTTGCTTGATTCGTTCATGTACCGACGCGGTCTCTAAGTCTCTGGGCGCATTAACTTCAGCTCCGTGCAAAAGTTGGTTTCAAGCCTCGGGAAATGGGCGGTGTATGGCTTCTCGCAGTGCGTTGATAGTACAGTGTAGCTGTATGATGTGATCAAGGCTTCAAAAACACAATTGGAAGAGCATTCCATGGGGGTTCATTGTTATTACCTGACGATGGCCAAGTGCCGAAACGTTGTAAAAATAACGGAACTGGTTCGGATGTGATGTGCAGCGCTATGGGAATGGGTGTGTCCACCCGAATTCTTTTCACATTCCATGGGGGATTGCCAAAAACATTGTGACGAAAACTCAAAATTTGACCCGTTTATGGCCAAAAGCTAGGATATCATCTTTTTCTGAATGGACTGTAAGTTAGCTCGGATTTCACCGGGCATAACTGTACATGCTCCAGGCTTTGAGAGCATTGTGTACGTGTGTGTACTGTCTTCTGCATGCACACTCCTTATAATTATGTCACACTATGACTACACTGGAACCCATAAACACATCCGCACTGACATGATGAGCCTACCGTACGCTCTCAAATATAAGCCCCTCTCAAATAGAGCCCGTGTGTCAGAGGGAATCGGAATAATAAAGCCCCCGTCTCGTATAAAGGCCCGGGGCTATAATCGAGTGTGCAATGTCCGTATCATGCAGTGCAGTTAGGGGTACTTTACCGTACAACGATCGAGTGTACTCACTGCATGTACTGATCAGCATGAATAGTGTGAAACAATTGGTGTTTCTATTAAAAAATAAAGCCCCCTCTCGAATAAAGCCCTCTCTCAAATATACCCCCCCCCCCCCCTCGATGTGTCTTCTGGAAAAATAGAGCCCCCGGGGCTTCTATTCGCGCCTATACGGTATACGTGATGTAATGTTTACAAGTTCTTTCTCCTGCTACGTGTACCGTGCATACTGCCTTGCACTGGTGTTTGGCACACTCTGGTAGTTTGTAAAGACTTGAGTAGTTGTGCTGTTGTGAGTGTGTGAGTACTTGTTGGTGGGCGACCATGCGTTCATTGTCCCATTGTCGTTACAGTGACCTGTGTGATTGCTGGGGGTGTGGACGGCTGTGTGTCGGAGGTGTGTGTGTTGGGGGGGGGGCTGTCAGTAGGGACCTTTCGCACCCCGCAGACGGATACGAAACGAATGCTGATTCGTCACCTGGGTTCGAGGATTCGTCAGAGTCCCTGCGGAGAACTCATTTTCACGAATGGAGGCCTCTTCATTCGTGGCACGCTCCGAATCCGTCAGGTACACATTTATTTGGATAGGTACACATGTTTTGCAAGGTACACATTTTTCCCTTGATTCCATGATCCATGCACGTGTGCGTGTAAAAACCCGTACGCCAAGCTACCGGCGCCCGCGGCCGTATTCGTAGTTGCCATGCACATTTGCATGACGACTTGCGAAACCTGAAATCTGTTTTCAACGAAACGATTACGAGCCGAATCAAACTTTCGTTTCGCATTCGTTTCGTAGCAAATGCGAAAGGTCCCTAGTGAGACCTGGGTGTAGCTACATGTAGTATCATTATGCGTTCACTGTACCAGCGTGTACACCTCTACAGCAGTTACTAGTATGTATAGTGCAAGGTGCGCTACAGTGCCTGCATTGTACACGGTATGCCTGCATCAGGACCTGCTAGTTATCACTGGTCATAGTACCACAGGAGATGGAACATGGCATTGTACATAGCCATGGCCTAGATCAGGACCTGCTGGCTATCACTGGTCATAGTACCACAGGAGATGGAACATGGCATTGTACATGGCCATGGCCTAGATCAGGACCTGCTAGTTATCACTGGTCATAGTACCACAGGAGATGGAACATGGCATTGTACATGGCCATGGCCTGGATCAGGCCCTGCTAGTTACTTGGTATCGCTGGTCATACTACCACAGGAGAGATGGAACAGGCGAGTGGAACATGAAACGGTGTGGGTTATGCTACCACTGCTGCCCGGTGCAGTTCGCTCTTGGCTCAGGGCTGGTTCAGGCACACTCACATGCGGCATTCTGGTTTGGGTCACTTTCAGGATGTGCACGGCAAGGTCAGGATCACGAGTCGCACAGACCATGCATCATTATATCTCCGGGCATCTAGCTTTTTTGACTTTGCCAAGCCTAGACCGTGGACCACATAATAGTAGACCTTCCGTACTGTAGGGTGAAACGCTGATACTTTCGGGTACAATCAATGCCATGACACTATGGTGGCTGGTGTCCAGACAAATCTGCTTTTTCTACTTCTACACATGCTTCTGACGGACTCTGCAGACTGCACGTTGTCCGGATAGTCAAAGGAGGAACTCAGTAGCAGTAGATAACATCTCTATTGCTCAAAGAGCTACGGTTTCTTGCCCCTCGGTTCTAAAGACACTCTCGATATGAACAACAGCTCATACTGTACTGCTTTTCTCTGTGTGTTGCTTGTTTGTGTCTGTCTCTTGTAGGTACCTGCACTATGTATTGACCAAGAATGCGGTCGTCAACGAGCACAATCGCGATCTGCTGGTGGAGACACTGCGCAGCATGGCCGAGATCTTGATCTGGGGCGATCAGAACGACGCACATGTCATGGAGTAAGTTAGCATGTCACCTCAAACATCTCTCTCTCTCTCTCTCTCTCTCTCTCTCACACACACACACACACACACACACACACACACACACACACACACACAACCTTCTTCGCTATTGTAGCTGTCCTGAAACTGATTGGACGAGTGGAGGGATGGGGCTGTCCTGTGTCGTGAAAACAGAGGGTGTCAGCGAATCAAATTACACCGAGGTGAGATTGATTTTCGAAGGTTTGGCCGAAAGTGGGTGTGTGTGTGGAAGAGGGCATGCTCTGTCGTCGGGGCTGAAAACCCTCTGTCTGTATTGTAGCCCAGGACTTGGGATATAGTTATGAATCTTGATGGAGCAGGTCTCCTCACATGGACTGACTGTTTCTGCGTCTGTGCATGTGTGTGTGTGTGTTTTCTCTGGTCTCCAGCTTCTTCTTGGAGAAGAACATGCTGTCCTTCTTTCTCAAGATCATGAAGCAGAAGTTTGGCCGGTTTGTCTGTGTACAGCTGCTACAAACGCTGAACATCCTCTTTGAGAATATGCGCAACGAGACGTCGCTCTGTAAGACTGCCTGCCAACATGTGCATGTACATGTCGCAACGACTTAGCGTATATTCCCGAGTATATGCCGCTCTTTATCCCTTTATTGGCTGGCCCATACATAGATCGAACACCGATGTTCGATGCAGTAGGCATTTTGAAATTATCGTAACTTGGTCAAATCTCGGTCTCGTGGAGAGATCGGAATATGTAGGTCGAAGAAAAAACTCTCAGCTATCGCCTCGAACAATTTTCAAAGCGATAGGAAAAGTGGTTCTTGAGTTATAGCACTCGTAATGTTGGTCCCGGGAAATTTGCGTTCAGACCGAGATGCGTGGGTCAACGGCTGGGATTTTCCCTGCTTACGTCACCTGTTGACAAGGCTACACCGATTCAACTTCAAAAGTAGGTTCCCGGGGTCTCTACCAAAGAATTTGAGTTAGATACGAGCAACAGGAGTGAAATGGTGGATAGAGATCGATGTCGAGCGTGAGTCCAGCGCTGGTGCGCCTTCCCTGGCTTGCAGCGCTGGGCCAGTGCATCCCGTGGAGCCGAGTGTAGGCTCATTGCGTTCCTCTCGTCAAGGCCTTTCCAGGATGCCCAAGATCGTGGAATTTGTCCAGTGCAAACTAAAGTTACGTCCAATTTAGGTACAGATTTGGTGATTGCGTGGGCTTGCTTATATTTTTTATCGGCCAATGAGAGAGCTTGGAAGCTCAGGGCCCTACGCTATGCTTTTTTGCCTAGCTCATCGTGCATGTTATTAGAACTGCCCCTCATGATCGGATTTTCTGGCCTTTTTGTAGTAATACATTATTGACCTGCTGAGCCAATGAGGTAAAATTATATTCCATACAATACGATACAGTACAATAATACAATAATGTCCTTGCCTTGATAGTGTGCTTGTGCTTAACTGTTGCTGACGGCCGAATGCATGGTTGCCTGTGGAGCACATTACATCACTTCACAGTCTCCTATAATACGCATCCTGTCCGACGGCGAAAG